TAGTGGAATTCTATGCCTCCATCAGAAAGAATAACATTGCCCCATGTGTTAGGAAATGAAAAGACTTGGAAAAAATTATATTAAGTGAAGTAAGCCAGGCCCAAAGAAACATAGGTCCCATGGTTTCCCTTATTTGCAATAACTAGTGTTACATATATTGAAACTAACCATGGTACACACACCCCATAAAAGTCATATAGTTTTTAAGATAACATAACTTTCAACTTTTACTATAATAAAACAATGCAAAATCTTTGCAGCATTTTATATCTAGTCTAAAAATAGGTTACACAAAAGTATTTGGTATGTTATTATCTGCCAAATGAGTGCTTGTAGTTCTTCTTTTGTTGTTTTGTGATAAGGTCTCACTATATATCTGAGGCTATCCTTAAATTTACAATCCTCTACCTGAGTACTGGGATTATAGGCTTTTGCCTTTATTCTAAGTAAGTGTTGGTAGTTCAAAAAGTAAACTTAAAAACTTATGCTCTGGAAAATAATCTCAAACTAACTGCTAATGAGCAAACAAGTATCTCTCTTACTTCTTTTCTTGAGAAATCTAAAACTCAAGAAATATGTCCTCACCCTAACCAATAGCTTTTACAAGCATTCTTCCTATGTCAATTGTTGAAAATCACTCCTCATATCTAAGTAGCTGTGTGGAACATAGGTCCACTAATTTTTCCATCCATTCAACTATGTCACACTATCTCAAAGAAATAAAATAGAAAACAGTGGCATTTTAAATAAATGAATCCATGATCCAAAAATCCCTACTACACACTGAGTTACTATACAGAATTGGCTTTGCATTAAACAGCCATGAAAGCCTTCACTTCATCATTCAACAGTTCAGGAAAATAAAAGAAAAACAATGATACTTACCTCTGTTTCCCAAACTTCTCCCAGAGCCAAATCCAGTCCTCAAGAAAGGATCTTTCCTTGAAGATCCGTTGTCCATTTCTAAAGCAAATATCATTTTGAAGGAAGTTAGATAAAATTAAGTGTTTAGGTAGTATACACATTTTTCAATGTGTCACCCATGCAGCTAAAGGGAAATTTTATACACAAATAAGAAACACCCTAGTTTAAAAAAAAATAAGCCATGAATTGGTAGCTCTCCAAAAGAAAAAAAAAAGCTAACACTCATTGGATAAATGCCCAGGAGTAGAATTGCTGGATCACAGGAAAGCTCTGTTTAGTCTTTTGAGGAGCCTCCATATCACTTTCCAGAGTGGTTGAACAAATTTAACATTCCCACCAACAGGGTAGTAGTGTTCCCTTTGGCCACATCCCCACCAGCATCTGTTATTGTTAGCTTTCTTGAAAATGGCCATTCTAATTGGGATGAGGTGGAATCTCAATGTTGTTTTGATTTACATTTCTTTTATGGCCAGAGATGTTGAACATTTCTTCTTATGTCTATAGATCATTCTTATTTCTTTCTGAGAAGTCTGTCTTCAAGTCTTTAGACAATTTATTAATTGGGTTGTTGTTTCTTTGAGGGCTTATTTTAGAGTGGGTTAATTTTTTGAGCTCTAAGTATATTTTAGATATGAGGCCCTTGTCTGATACATAGCTAATAAAAATATTCTCCCATTCTGTGGGCTTTCTATATAGATGGTAGCAATTTTTAACCACATGATTGCTAGCAGGTTTTAAGTTTACTAAACACCCAGAATAGACAAGGACATTGGTTAAAAAAAAACATAAACCAGGCACAGTGGCTCACAACTATAAAACACCAGTAAGATCAGCTACTGTGCATGCAGATTGAGAGGAGCACAGTTCAAGGCCAGCCTAGACAAAAAGTTAGTGAAACCTTATCTTAAGAAGTTGAGCACTAGTGGTGCGTACTTGACATCCCAGCTATACTAGAGACCTAACAAAGTGTGCAAAGCTAGTCCTGAGTGGGCATCTATCCATGTTCACTGCTGAACACACACACACACACACACACACACTCTCTCTCTCTCTCTCTCTCCCCTCTCTCTCCAAAAACATGCACAATGCTTGATAAGAAATGTACTCATTATCTTGCCCATGTAATTGTAACCACTCTGTACAGTATTTTCACAATAAAAAAAGAAAAAATGCAAAACATAATCTTTAAAATACACACATAAAAAATAATGGTTCCATTCACTGATGCACTATTCATAATAGTCAAGTTATGGAAACAGCCCAGATACCATACAATAGACGAGTGTATCCAAAAAATGTGGTACCTTTACATAATGGAATTTTACAATGCCATTAGAAAGAATATTATGTCATTTGCAGGGAAGTGAATGAACCTACAACAAATCATGTTAAGTGAAGCAAAGCTCAGATAGACAAACAATGAATGTTTTCTCTCATATGCAGAAGTTGAAAATACACTGGGGACATGACTGGAGGCATTCACATCTAGTGAGACTAAAGGAGGATATTTATAGGAGAGGAACCCAATGGTACAATGCCTACGTGCCTTATTAAAAAAATATTGATCTAAATGAATTCCAGGAAATGAAACAAAAGGTTTTTTTGTTTGCTGCTGTTTTTGTTTACTTTTTGTCTTATCTGTTTAGGGAGTGTAATGAAGGGAACAGAAATGGAGGAAGAAGGGTAAACAAATACAGCAGTGATTCTAGACATTATACTGAAAGTGAACTTGTGAGGATAGGAGGGAATAACTGGAAGAGAGCGAGGGAAAAGGTAACACTGTCATAAAAGAAATGTACTCTTGGCCAGTCACCGGTGGCTTATGCCTATAATCCTAGCTACTCAGGAGGCTGAGATCTGAGAAATGCAGTTCAAAGCCAGCCTGGGCAGAAAAGTCCCTGTAAGACTCAACTCCAATTAACCACTCAAAAAAAACCTGGAAGTGGCTCTGTGACCGAAATGGTAGAGTGCTAGCCTTGAGGCTCAGGGCCAGTGCCCAGGCCTTGAGTTCAAAGCCCCAAACCGACAAAGAGAGGGAGGAAGGGGGAGGAAGGAAGGAAGGAAGGAAGTCTTTTCCTGACATATGTAACTGCTTTTTGTTTTTGTTTTGTTTTTTTGTCAGTCATGGGGCTTGAACTCTAGGTTTGGGCGCTGTCCATCTCTTCAGCTCAAGGCAATTGTTCTATACTGCTTGAGCCACAGCACCACTTCTAGTTTTCTGGTGATTAATTGGAGATAAGACTCTCATGGACTTTCCTACCCAGGCTACCCTGGCAGCCTCCTGAGCAACCAGCACTCAGCCTGACTTATGTAACTGTAACCCCTTTGTATATCAACTTTATAAAAACCATAAACATATTTTTAAACAATGGCTTCTGTGTAAGATTGGTAAAACCCTTGCTATTGTGAACAAAAGGAGAGAACAGATTCAAATAAATAAAACTAGACATTAAAAGGGGAATATCACAACAAATACTAAAGAAATCCAAAGGATAAAGGAACTTTGAAAACCTATACTCAAGCTGAAAAACTAGAAGAAATGAATATACTTTTAGATATGGCTGACCCCTCAAACTAAACCAAAAGTATGTAAGTACTTAAATAGAGTCATAAAAAACAATGAAATTGAAGCAATAATAGTCTTTCAACAAAGAAAAGCCCAGGGACAAATATATTTACAGCTGAATTCTACCAGAATTCTACTTTCAGAGAATAATATTCTTCCAACTATTCCAATCAAGACAAAAAAATGCTACCAAATCATACTGTGAAGCAAAAATTATACTCATACCAATACCAGACAGATACAACACTAAAAGAGAATCATGGACCAATCTCACTGCTGACCATTGATGCAAAATTTTTCAATAAAATCCCTGGACGTAGAATTCAACAACACATCAAAGCCAATCAGTCATGTTCATCAGTTTTATCCTAAGGATGTTAGGATATGTAACATATATAAATTTCTTTGTAACATACAAATAATATTTTTCTTTTTTGTCGGTCATAGAGCCTGAACTCTGGGCCTGGGCGCTGTCCCTCAGCTCTTCAGCTCAAAGCTAGTGCCCTAGCATGTGAGCCACAGCGCCACTTCTGGCTTTTTTCTGCTTATGTGGTGCTGAGTTTCAAACCTAGGGCCTCATGCATGCAAGGCAAGCACTCTTACCACTGAGCCAACTTCCCAGCCAACAAAAAATATTTTTAAGACATCACATAAACAAAGGAAAAAATTATATGATCATCTAGATCACTGCAGAGAAGACCTTTGATGAAATTCAATATCCTTTTATCTTATGATAAAAATTTTAAAGAAAGGATCTTTTCCTTGGTCTGAGTTGATCCTGTGTGGATTATAATGTGACGGTGGGATGTCCTATTCTGGTCTGGTCTATTTGGAGTTCTAAAAGCTTCTTGTATCTGAATAGGCCTATCTTTTTGTATGTTTGGGAAGTTCTCTGCTAGGATCCTGTTAAACAAATTCCTAGACCATTAACTTCTGTTTCTGGGTGCTCCTCTACACCCATTATCCTCAGATTAGGCCTTCTGATGGTGTCTTCCAAGTGATGAATAGTTCTATCATATTTCTTGGACTTGTCTTGGATGGTTGTATGTTCTTTCTCTATAATATCTAGGCTGTCTTCAATCCCCAAGATTCGATCTTCTGCATGGTCTAACCTGCTGTCGAGACTTTCTACTTGTTTTTTATTTCTTTTCCTTCTAATTGGTTAGCTTTGATGGCTTCAAATTCTTTGTTGAAGCTTTGTTTTAGATCCCGTACGGACTTCTTTACTTCCTTAATTTGGTGTACAGTGTTTATTCTCAAATCACTTAGTTGATTGGTTATGGTTTCTTTGGACTCCCATTCCTTCTGTTGGGTTCCATTCAGCATTCCCTTTGTGGTCTCCCTGACTTCCTTCAGCTCTTTGTTAATGGATTCCATGAATGCCTTTAGTGATCTTTGTATATTCTCTACCTGGTCTCTCAATTCCTGTATTACTCTTTGATTAGTTTCCTCCCATTCATGGGATTCCTGTAGTTCTCTTTCCTCCCGTTCGTGGGATTCCTGCAGTTCTCTTTGAGTGTTCTCAGCCTGCTCACGCCATTCCTCCCTTTCTCTTTGAGTATTCTCAAGTTGTTTACGCAAATCCT